AGTCCCAGCTACTTGGGAGGCTGAGACAAGTGAATCACTTGAGCCCAGGAGTTTGAGGTTCCTGTGAGCTATGATGCCAGGGCACTCTACCAAGGGTGACAAAGTGAGAGTCTCAAAAAAAAAATTAAAATTAATTTTTAAAAAATGTTCTTAGATGGGTTGGCGATGCATAAATAAGACTAGACATTAACTAGGCGTCTAGAATCATATGCATTATTTTGAGAGAATAGGATGAGTAGAGAGGAGTCTACAAACTTCAGGAGGATGGATATTATTAGAAAATACAAACTACTTAGAGAAAAGGAAATGATCTGAGTAGTAGCAAGTCATTCTCTTGATAGTGTGGCTGTTCTACTTCTAAAATGTAGTTGAAATTTGGCCACTTCATTCCATTTCCGTTGCTACTGACTCTGTTCAATCATTTATCATTTCTCACCTGAATTAACAGCTATGGGTTTTTAACAGATCTTATCCCACTACGATATAAGTTGCATCCAGCAGCCAGAGTAGTCATTTTAAAATACAAATAGAACCGTGGTACTCTTTCCCTAAAGTACTCCTATGACTTCCCATTAGAAAAAAATCTTAACTCACTTATCAGTTATTACCTCCCTACACCCTTCTAGCTGTTGTAACAGGATGACTAAAACAAAACAGAAGCTTATTTCCTATTAAAAGAAAGGTTTATGTGGGTGATATAATGCCAGTGTGTCAACATCCCCAACATGCTTTATCCCAAATTGCAGCTGCTGCAATTCTGTCATCACATCTGGCTGGCAGGAAAGAGGAGGCAAGGAGAAAGACAGCTCCTTCTTTTAGGAAGTTAGGCAAATCACATTTCCACACATCCCTGGGTAGAGGTAGTTTTTGCAAGGAAGGCTGGAAAATGAATGTTTAGTTGGCTAGGCGTTAGTGCTCAGTTAAATTTGACTGTAATGGTAGAAGAAACATCTTGTAATCTCTGCCATTCCCTTTCCTTCTCATATTATAATAGAAAGGAAGATCAGAAGAACAGGAACTTGGCTATCCTCTTAAGCGTTGTGTCCTTAGTGTTAAGAAGAGTACCTGAGGGTGGTTCCAGTAGCTCAGTGCATAGGGCGCTGGCCACACACACTGAGATTGGTGGGTTTGAACCTGGACCAAGCCAGCTAAAACAACAATGACAACTGCAACAACAACAACAAAAGTAGCCAGGCGTTGTGGCAGGCACCTGTAGTCCCAGCTACTTGGGAGGCTGAGGCAAGAGAATCACTTCAGCTCAAGAGTTTGAGGTTGCTGTGAGCTATGAAGCTATGGCATTCTCCCCAGGGTGACAGCTTGAGACTCTGTCTCAAAAAAAATAAAGAAGAGTACCTGGCACATTGTGGGTGCTGAGTACATATTTATTAAATTAATTTATTGAGAAATTCAACTTTTCATTCTGGAAGGAATTGTGGAAACCTACAGATTTTTTGACCATCAAAGTGAAAATGCATACCAATTTTGTTGGTTCCTGGAATGTTGTCGCTAAAGACTTTTCATTTGTTTATTACCACAGTTATACACATGTATACTGCTTTAGGACTAGAAGAAACCATAGATAGTATCTAGGTAATGTTATTTATTACCTTTTCTTCTATAAAAGAAGAAAAGCTCAGATATAAGGGATAGTTCTAAATCAAGTTAGGAAAAAAGACTAAATGAATGTAATTGATGTACTAACTAAGGAGAGAGTTTAGTAGATGCCCAGTTAGGTTAACATAAATTTGCATGAAGAGACCAACAATAGTAACTTCTGAAGACTGGGAATCCCAGCTGATGCATTAAATTTGGCTATTGTAAATATGGCATTTTATATGAATTATTCTTGCTATAATTCTGCAGGTTACTGCTTATTAACCCAAAGCTACAATCTTTTCCTTTTAATACAGTAAACTTTCAAAAAAGGAGAAGAATACATTCCAGATAGTTTAAAATAGTGTTTGGAAAGTTAAAGCAATGTGTCATGAATGGAGAAGGTAGGTGGTCTCTTCAGGATCTGTCAAATTCCCGTAGTTACTAAGGGTAAAGGGATCTGTGGAAGATCTTTTGAGGGGTAACCTCTATGGTGTAGTAGTCCCAGCTGGATATACAGTATATTTCTTTCTGATGTAGTTATTTGTTTCTCTTATAGAATTTTCATCTCATTGATTATCACCTGGCAGCATTCATCACAGTGATGCTTGCAAGGAGGCTTGTATGGGCCCTCATCTCAGAGGTAACAGCTCATTCACTATATGCTATCACTTGAATTAGTTACTAGCTAGAATTAGTTACTAGATTGAGTTCAATTTGAAAATGTGAAATGTCCAAATATAAATGTGATAAAACTGTTAAGTTGATTTCTTTACATCCATGCGAGTAGTACCAATACTTTTAAAAAGGTTTCCTGCAATATATTTAAAATTCAAGTTTGAAATAACTCACAGGAACTATTAGAAATCTCCTTTGTCAAGTAGGAACTTATTGTTAGCTTCCAAGTTTTTTAGTACACTTTTGAAAATTTTAATAGTTCTTTTAAAATGGGATGAATGTCAGATAACCATTACCATGAAGAGTCATCTGTATGGATACATTTGCATCTAAAACATTCACTTTGAGGTAACTTCCACTTAATATTGTTTTTATACCATTTATAGAGAGTGTTAGCAAGAAACATTTGAGTTTATTAAAACTTAGAATTTTTAAAAAGGCAGTGTCAAAATGTGCATAGGATTAGAACCTACCTAAGTTTAGTGGGCAGAAGAGGAAAGAATTGGAATATTAAAATGATCTTTTATTGTTCATTAATTCATTCATTCGTTTATTAGAGATAGGGTCTTACTCTGTTGTCCAGGCTGGTCTCAAACTCTTGACCTGAAAAGGTCTCCCCACCTTAGTCTTTAGAGTAGCTGGGATTACAGGTGCACACCACAATACCCAGCTTAAAATGATCTTTTTAAAATTAAAAGTTGTTAGAGATGGCCAGTGGTATAATTTTTTATATATTTGTAAATGCCAATAAGAGAAAAATGTGCTTTGTTAAGATTTTGTTATCTTGTGTCCTAAATGATTACAAAACCAAAAATGTCAAGTTAGCTAAAGTGGATAATAATTTTAATCTTGTAATTTATGATCCAGTATAAAATTTTATATAGTCATAATCTTAGATATTTTAAAAATCACATATATATTATATAATTTTAGGATCAGATTATTGAGAGTCAACTTTTTTCTTACATAACATTACAAACATGAAAAGTCCTTTTGTACATAAGCTCTGATTTTCAGAAAACTTATCTCTGTAAGCACAGAATAATTAGAGATGTTAAATCATGATCTGAAAGCCATTTGAAGTCAACTGAAAAACCCTGGTGGTAAGATTATTTGTTTTTCACAATGGGAAAGGCTGTTTTTGTAACCTTTTCTTTCAGGTTCTTTATTTAGGTGTGGGAAAACAGAAGCTTATTTTTGGATATATTGAGAAAGTGTTTTCTTTCTTTAGAGGATCTCAGTGGAGTCTTATGTTTACATCTCTTAGAACAGGGTATGATTTTGTTTCATCCCCTCAGTTACTTAGAAATGCTTTTTTTTTTTTTTGAGACAGAGTCTCAAGCTGTCACCCTAGGTAGTATGCAGTCACAGCTCACAGCAACCTCAAACTCTTGGGCAGTTCTCTTACCTCAGCCTCCTAAGCTGGGACTACAGGCGACTGCCACAACACCCAGCTATTTTTTTGGGGGGGGGGGTTTTTAATAGTTGTCATTATTGTTTTGCGAGCCCTGGCTGGATTCAATCCCTCCAGCTTGTGTATGTGGCTGGCACCCTAGCCACTTGAGCTACAGGTGCTGAGCCAAGAAATGCTTCTTGTGTATCTTAAATTAATGTGTCCAGGCTGGACACCCGTAGCACAGTGGTTATGGCGACGGCCACATATACCAAGGCTGGTGGGTTCGAACCCCGGTCCTGGCCAGCTGAACAATAATGATGACAACCTCAACAACAAAAAAAATAGCCCGGTGTTGTGGCAGATATCTGTGGTCCCAGCTACTTGGGAAGCTGAGACAAGAGAATCACTTAAGCCCAAGAGTTTGAGGTTGCTGTGAGCTGTGACGCCATAGCACTCTACCCAGGGCGACATAGTGAAACTCTGTCTCAAATAAAAAAAAAAATTAATATATCCATTTAGCGTGTAAATTCTTCACCACTGAGGTTTCTACCCTGTTGCTGCAAAGGCAATTTCAAAGGCTTAACAATAGTTAAGCAGCTTTTGCACAGCCTTAGTTGGAGAGCGTATTAGCTATTTTCTAAAGATCTTGCAATTACTGGGAACAGAACATTTGAGTAGATATTTTAATCAAAGGCTTAAAACTACCTTAATGTCCATTAATAACAGAATTTTTTTTAATTTAATTTTTTTTTTTCTTTTTGAGACAGAGTCTCAAGCTGTTGCTGTGGGTAGAGTGTCCTGGAGTCACAGCTCACAGCAACCTCAAACTCTTGGGCTTAAGCTATTCTCTTGCCTCAGCTTCCCAGGTAGCTGGGACTACAGGTGCTTGCCACAACACCCGGCTGTTTTTGTTGTTGTTGTTGCAGTTGTCGTTGTTTTAGCTGGCCCGGGCTGGGTTCGAACTTGCCAGCCTCAGTATGTGGCCGTTGCCCTACCCGTAATGGTATAGCAAGCACCTAGTCATTAAAAAAGATGAAAAGGTGTTCATGTAGTGACCTCCAAGTTGGTTTTTTTTTTTTGGAGACAGTCTCACTCTGTTGCCCTGGATAGAGTGCTGTGATGTCATAGCTCACAGCAACCTCAAATTCTGGACTTGAGCAATCTTCTTGCCACAGCCTCCCAAGTAACTAGGACTGCAGGTGCCTGCCACAACGTGTGGCTAGTTTTTCCATTTTTTTAGTAGAGATAGTCTTGCTTCTTACTCAGGCTGGTCTTGAACTCCTGGCTAAGGCAATTCACCTGATTTGGCCTCCCAGAGTGCTGGATTACAGGCATGAGCCACTGCACCTAGCCAACTTTTAAGATAATAAAAATATGAAAAAGTAAGGTACAGAACAGTGTTTAAAATAAGGCAGATGGAGGGAACAAAATTTATTTTCTTTTGAATGAGTAAATTGTCCCTAGAAGGACATATAAACTAATACCAGGCTGCTTAGTTGGTGGTATGAGATAGAAGCAGCAGGTGGAAAGCCTTTCACTACAATTATACTTTTGTACTTTGACTGATGTTAACATATTACCTACCCAAAAATTTTGAAAAGCTGTATGATGACTATCTCCTTAAAATATATAAATTAGATGGATAAAACCCATCATAAATCATTTTTCCTTCCATCCATTAAAATATATTTGCCTTCTGTTTTTGCTTGTATCACAGAAAGGATTCCTACCCTGAGAAGGACTAATCACATTTAAGGAAAGGGTGGAGGTTATTAATTCCAAAAGCTAGATACTATTTAGGGAGGTAGACTCTGTTTGTTCACTTCCAGACCAGCTCTGCTTCTATACTTGGTCTGCAAGACCAGAAATAAATGCAACTATTTGTTCACCACCCTGAAACAACTCCCTTTTTTACAATTGTTTTTCTAAATAGAATAGTAGTGCCTTTTATTGCAAAAAAATTTGGAAAACACTAAAATATAAAGCAGAAAATTAAAAAATTGCAGTCTTATTATTGAGGACCACATTTTGGTATATTCCCATCTAATGTTTATTTCCATATAAAGATTTTATATGTTTATATTTATCTTAATATATTTGAGACATCTTTATATACGTTTATATGCTATACTTTTCATTTAACAAAGTGTTATGTTTTTTTTTTTTTTTTTTTAGAGACAGAGTCTTACTTTGTCACCCTCAGTAGAGTGCTGTGGCATCACAGCTCACGGTAACCTCCAGTTCTTGGGCTTCGGCGATTTTCTTGCCTCAGCCTCCCTAGCAGCAGGGACCACAGGAGCCCACCACGACATCCGGCAATTTTTTTGTTGCAGTTTGGCCAGGGCTGGGCTCGAACCTGCCACCCTCAGTATATGAGGTTGGCGACCCACTCTGCCACAGGTGCCGCCCTATTTTTTTCTCTTCATCTGGCTAACTGTTGCTTATCTTTTAGGTTTCAGCTTAAATGCCACTTTTTAAAGGAAGCCCTTTCTAGGTTGGGATATCTTGTTATTTGCTCTCCATAGCAGCCTACTCTTTGTCTTAGCTCTTATCATAATTATAAAAATAATTGTCTAAATCTAAGTTTACTATGTGCTTTTCTTAGTTGGCCAGCTTCACAAAGACGGTTTTGTTCACCACTGTGTCCCCAAAACCTGGTAAAGGGTCTGTCCCATTTGGCTCAGTGGTTAGGACCCTGGGTTCAGGAATAAGGCATAATTAATAAATTCAAGCGCTAATGCTCTGTGATATTGAGCAGAAACAATCATTTTTGTTTCTAACCCTGAACTTCTGAGATTGGAGATAATGGAATAACTCTAGTGACTGAAAGAATTTCCATAGGCTCTGACATGTGAGGTAGATTGGCATGATTTATTTATCAGGGAAGCGATAGGAAACTATGTACCCTCCAATGGCTGGAGCCCTCTCCACAGTTTAAAGCTTAAGCAGTTTGATTTGATTGCTTCTTTGCATTTTAAGTAATAATTCTACTGTGTATATTACTATCCATGTAGTACATATAATACACAGTACAATACATTGCATGTATTATTGTGTACACTGTATAATACATTCTGTCAACTAAGAAATGGGTATGTAGGAGAGACCTGAGAAGTGACTTATTCCCTCCCATGTACTGTTGATTCCAGGGACTTACTTCCTCTTTCTGAGTTCTGATATGGCTCTTTTAGAGGTTATAGGCATCCACTGTTTTTCCCCTACACTTTTTTTGCTTGTCCTTCCTAGTTCATTTTTGAAAGAAAATAGCATTACAGGTCGGGTGCAGTGGCTCACACCTTTAATCCTAGCACTCTGGGAGCCTGAATGGGTAGATTGCTTGAGCTCAGGAATTCAAGGTCATCCTAAGCAAGAGCGACACCGTGTCTCTTAAAAAAAAAAAAAAAAAAGGACTGGACATGGTGGCTCACGCCTGTTGTCCCACCGCTGTGGGAAGCTGAGGCAGGTGGATCACCTGAGATCAGCTGAGTTTGAGACTAGTGGAAGACCAGCATGAGCCTCAGTGAGCCAGAGTGAGACCCCATCTCTACTAAAAAAAAAAACCAAAACAGACATTGTGGTGAGCACCTGTAATCCCAGCTACTTGGGGGACAAGAGAGCAAGAGAATCCCTAAAGGAAGAAAGAAAAAAAAATTTAAATTAAAAAAAAAGAACAGGCATTATAGTGGGCACCTGTAGTCCTTGGCTACTGGAGGCTGAGGCAAGAAGATTGCTTGAGTTTGAGCTGTGATGCCACAGCACTCTACCAAGGGTGCCAGAGTGAGACTTTGTCTCCAAAAAAAAGGAATTGCACAACTTCAATTTTTGACAAGTACTTATTACAATATTACCACATTGGTCAGTTTTAAAGATTTGGGATTAAAGAAGAATATTTGAACAGCTGTAATGTAAAGAATTGGAAGTGATCATTATTTCCATGTTTACAAAAGTTAAGAAAAATATGTAGGGGTCTGTCAAAGAAGATATGATTTTTCTTAAATTTCAGTAACATATTAAACATTAATTAGCAAATAGATTATAGGTGAGGGTTCAAAAAATGTAAATATTATTGCTGCTGTTGAGGCTCTTATAGTCTGGTGGGAAGTAAGACAGATAAACTAGTAGTTCGCCCTCTTTTTATGTACATAAAAATCACCTGCTAAGTTATTAAAATCAGGGTTTTTTGTTTTTTTTTTTTTTTAAATGATACTTTTAATTTTATTTATTTATTTATTTATTTTTGGCCAGGGCCAGGTTTGAACCCACCACCTCCGGTATATGTGGGCCAGCACCCTACTCCTTTGAGCCACAGGCGCCACCCTAAAATCAGATTTTTAACTCAAGATTTTGTTCCCTACCTCTGGAGAGGAAGTTGTTAAGAATTTACACCTTGGCTTGGCACCTGTGACTCAAGCGGCTAAGGCGCCAGCCACGTACACCTGAGCTGGCGGGTTCGAATCCAGCCCGGGTCCTCCAAACAACAATGACGGCTGCAACCAAAAAATGGCCCGGCGTTGTGGCAGGCACCTGTAATCCCAGCTACTTGGGAGGTGGAGGCAAGAGACTCGCTTGAGCCCAGGAGTTGGAGGTTGCTGTGAGC